ATACAACAGATAATCATCATCATCATCATCATAATCAGCCTGACTACGTTCACTGCAGGACAAAGGCCTCTCCCATGTTCCGCCAGTTAACTTGGTCCTGTGCTTCCTGCTGCCAATTTACACCCGCAAACTTCTTAATCTCACCTGCCCACCTAACCTTTTGTCTCCCCCTAACCCGCTTCCCTTCTCTGGGAATCCAGTTAGTTACCCTTAATGATCAGCGGTTATCCTGTCTACGCGCTACATGCCCGGCCCATGTCCATTTCCTCTTCTTTATTTCAACTATGATATCCTTAACCCCCATTTGTCCCCTAATCCACTCTGCTCTCCTTTTGTCTCTTAAGGTTACACCTACCATTTTTCTTTCCATTGCTCGCTGCGTCGTCCTCAATTTAAGCTGAACCCTCTTTGTAAGTCTCCAGGTTTCTGCACCGTAGCTAAGCATCGGCAAGATACAGCTGTTATATACCTTCCTCTTGAGGGATAGTGGCAATCTACCTGTCATAATTTGAGAGTGCTTGCCGAATGTGCTCCACCCCATTCTTATTCTTCTAGTTACTTCAATCTCGTGGTTAGGCTCAGCGGTTATTACCTGCCCAAAGTAGACATAGTCTTTTACAACTTCAAGTGCACTATTACCTATCTCGAAGCGCTGCTCCTTTCCGAGGTTGTTGTACATTACTTTCGTTTTCTGCTGATTAATTTTAAGACCCACCTTTCTGCTCTCCTTGTCTAACTCCGTAATCATGAGTTGCGATTCGTCCCCTGAGTTACTCAGCAATGCAATTTCATCGGCGAAGCGCAGGTTACTAAGGTATTCTCCATTACCTCTTATCCCTAACTGTTCCCATTCTAGGCTTCTGAAAACCTCCTGTAAGCATGCGGTAAATAGCATTGGGGATATTGTGTCCCCCTGCCTTACACCCTTTTTGATTGGTATTCTGTTGCTTTCTTTATGAGGCACTATGGTAGCAGTTGATCCCCTGTAGATTTCTTCCAGAATGTTTATATATACTTCATCTACGGCCTGATTCCGCAGTGTCTGCATGACGGCTGATATTTCTAGTGAATCAAATGCCTTCTCGTAATCTATGAAGGCTATGTATAGTGGAATAGAGAAATGCTCAGAGTATAACCAACCACAACCAACCACCAACAACCAACCACTATACAACAGATAATAGACAGCCTCAATAGAAAGAAAGACCCATATCGTTAACTTCGATACCATGGAAAATAATGGAACACATAATATTTTCTAACCTTGTTACGTTTCTGGAAGAAAACAACTTTCTCTCTAGGTGTCAACACGGCTTTCGCAAACTCCTTTCCTGTGAGGACTTAACTGGTAACTTTTACTAATGACTTGCATGTGTATCTTGATACCGGCTTTTTTACAGACTGTGTCTTTTTGGACTTCTCCAAAGCATTTGACAGGGTTAAACATGTATTGCTTCTACACAAACTACGTGCACTAAACATTGACCTGAAGTACTTGGATGGATAGAAAGCTTTCTTTCTTCCCGTTCTCAATTGGTGGTTGCGAATGACTTCACATCTGATTCGGCTCCTGTCGAATCGGGTGTTCCTCAAGGGTCTGTCCTCGGTGCTCTTTTATTTTTAATATACGTTTAGGATATACCCGACAACATTTCCTAAAAAATTTGCTTATTCGCGGATGACTGCATTGTATATCGCAAAATTACAAATGCCTCTGACGTTGCAACCCTTCAATCCGTCTTGAATAACATATGTACCTAAGTGGTGCCTCACATGGTGCATGGAACTCAACATTAACAAATGTAAATCGATGCGCATTTCTCGTTCTAACACAATCTGCCTGGCCTATGCACTAAATAACTGCCCCCTTCAATCTGTTAGCACCTACCGTTATCTTGGCATTCATATTACCAACGACCTCTCTTGGAAGCACCACATAGAGTGCACAACATCACAAGCTAACCGCTCATTAGGATATTTGAAAAGAAACTTTTCATTTGCACCTGTACAATCAAAACGACTGCTATATGTAAGCGAGGTCTGCCCCTAAACTGGAATACGCCTCATCCATCTGGAATGCACATCGAGTCACATTAATTTACGAAATAGAATCGGTACAAAATCGCGCTGTTCGTTTCATCCTAAGTAATTATCATCGCTCTGCTAGTGTTTCATTAATGAAGAGTACACTCCATATTCCATTACTCTCTGTTCGTAGAAAAAACTCGCGAATCTCATTATTTCATAAAATCTATCACCACAATCCTTTCCTTTGCTCATTTTGGATTCACCCGGGATTGTACCATTCTGCTCGCCATGATCACGTGTACAAGGTCAGCGTACCTCGTCACAAAACCTTAGCGTGTTCACAATCATTCCTCACTAAGACGTTAATAGATTGGAATAACCTACCTGCATCATTATTAGGCATCACCGACCCCACTCGATTTAAGAATGCACTAATAAACTCAGAATCGTGAACTGTACTAATCTCGTAAGTGTTATTGACTGTTTGGTGTATTCTTTGTAATTCTAGTTCAGTTGTTTTTTTTAATAAAGTGTACTCCTTGCATGCAAAACCACATCATTATATTTATCTTCATGTTAAATGTGTTTACATAATCCTGTAGTTATCTTGTTGTTCATCTGTATTTCCGCCCCTCCCCTCTATAATGTACAAATGTACCCTGAGGGTTTTACAAATAAATAAACCCACTCAATATTCTAAATAGTATAGTCAGTAAATATAGGTTAATCTAATTCAATCCATTCCACATCTTAAGAGGCCTGGGTTGTAACCATTATAGTGAACTAGTCTGTAGTGACAACGTTGGGCGCCTGTGTAGTGTATACATATCCCAATGGAGTAAGGCGACTAGCGTGGGTTTGGTCTTAGTGAGCCGCAGGGCAGGCGTTAACCGTCGCCAGGGTGAGAACACGGTACTGCTCAAGCTTGCAACACTTTATTGTCAGCCTGCAACACCGAAACGCAGAATCATGCGTCACAATCACATGCCCGTTGCAAAAGATGCTGCGGGAAAGCACATGGGCTTATCCACGTTACGGGTGAGAAGTACTACACAAGGGTGCCGCGAGCACGTCTCCGTGGTAAAAATGATTCACGGGGACATGGGGACAAAGACCCGGTTGTTCAAGCGAGGGCAAAAGTGCTTGCGTTGGCTTTGGAAAGGTACGGGTCGGCGCAGTTTGGCCATGCACTAGGACACTGCACTGCTCTTCGGCCTAGTGCTCAAAAGGGGTGACAAAAGGTAAAAGTTTGTCGCGGGAGCAAAGTGCCAATCGTGAAGTTCGAACGAGCCCCAAACAAAGGAAGCTGACGAATGGAAGAGAAATGCGTGCTTACCCCATGTCGTCCCAGAGAGGTTCTCTCTTACTCCCAAGGCACGCGCGAAACATCCTGAGAGACTTTGCACGTGGCACCACAGTCGACATCCGCTACCGGGTGAGAGGGGTTAAAACGCACTCCCCGCTCTCCCAGCGAGGCAGACCACGGAGGAGAGGAGAGTCCATGTCAGGACAAGCCCGCGCTAAGGCTGCAGGCCGGCCTCAATTCCTACAAGTGTACGTACTCCAGTGGTAGAATCGGCCGGGCTCAGGCGTTCTCCTTTTACATGGATGTCACGAGATAAGGCACCTTCTACATTTCCTAGCAACGCTGGCTGCGTTGTTGGACTATCGTGGGCTCCTTCAAACCTTGAACTGCGGTTAAGTTTAAGTCGTTTGTTTGCATTCTGCCAAACAGCCAACTTTCTGATTCTCTGGCTCGGAGGCATCATTTTGGCCAGATTATGTATATTTTTAGGGGTGAAGCTGCTAGTAGCGTTGGTCTGTCCATCCCTTGTATGTATGTATGTATGTATGTATGTATGTATGTATGTATGTATGTATGTATGTATGTATGTATGTATGTATGTATGTATGTATGTATGTATGTATGTGTATGTATACACCCATGTATGTATGTATGTATGTATGTATGTATGTATGTACATATTGTAAAAGAACTTGTTGTTGGGCTAGTTGGTACAACATTTCAGAAAGTTATTTCGAGTGTGAACACACGACACAATCACTCACACACGCACACACCCAGGCATCAAACACACACAGCGCTCGCTCTCTTCCCAACTGATTTATTCACAGCTCGAAGGCTTGAATATATAAATGACACATGTGTGCACTAACACCATAAAAGGCTAATAGCATACATTATCAGTACATACTGTTAATCAATGTTGGACCCTCAAAGCGATAAACTGGAATTCACTTGGTAACAATGATAGCGAAGGGGCGCTTACACAGTGATCTTTGTTTTTGTTTTTTTTTTTCAATGAAAAAGGCCTCTAACACTTCACATGCAGTTTTACTTGCGCTTCTGCCTAGAATCTTCTTCTCAGAGAATCGTGCGTCACAACCACACGAGATGGCATGCGCAACCAGGTGCACATACGTAACGGTCATAGAATTTGCTTGAAATCATCATGGAAGACCAGGAAAAATTGTGGAATTTCAAAAAGAGAAATTGGTAGACACCCTGCTTATACCCAGCTGTTTGACTTGATTGATTGAATTTCCATACACACATGCACACACACACATGTACACACAGACAAACACACGCATACAAACACACACGCAGGTAAATAGAAGGCAAAAAGCACATGCTAGATACTAACATGTGCTACTAAAATGAATACGGGTTTGGCCAACCAACCAACCCGACTTGTTGCTGCCACGAGCCTCTGCTCGTGTTTCAGTGGGACTTTTCATGCGACTCTACTAGAGGGATCATAATTTCGAAGCTGGCCTAGTTGGTCCATGTTTTACTTGGCAATACAAGACCATTAGGGTGCCAGGCTGTTGGGTTCCGTGTTAGTGGCACTTGGACAGGAAATCATGCTGATGTGTGCACTGGTTGTGTGGACGTGTTTGCCTCCTGTCACATTGGTTCCCGTTTTTCTGTGCCGTTGACGATGCAGTGGTGTCGGGTGAGCGGGTGAGCCAGATGACACGAACATACAGTGACCCGGAGGCCCTGACGAGGCTCCTGGAAGAGAAGGAGCGTGACCTGGAGCTGGCGGCCCACATTGGCCAGGGGCTACTGCACGAGAAGCGCGAGCTGGCCTGTCGCACGGATGCCCTGGAGGCAGAGCTGCTGCAGGCCCAGGAGTCTCTCACGCAGTTGCGCCATGAGCTGGCCCTCAAGGCCTCCCTGCTGCAGGTGTACACGGCGCAAGAGGAAGCCGACGCTGCCTTGCCTTTGCCCACTGAGTGAGTGGGCCAAATAATAATAAACACCTCGGGAAAAAGGTGGCACCACTATAGGCACAATGAGCCAGGCAAGGTCTGGTTCAGGTGCAGTTCTCATTAATTCGGAGGTATTCTCTGCTTCAGCAGTCCACTTTAGAACACTTGAAAGTGCTGCAGTATGCAGTCGTCGTCGTTGAAGGCATCTTAAATATCTGTAAAGACAGCCATGGGGGGGTTATAATGCAAGAAGTTATTTCCTCATTCTTGCCACTTAGGGGGGACACAGCCCTTGAAAATAGAAAAATTGTGAAAAGTAGACTTTTGAAAAAGCATAATCATGGTTGCACGTCTCGTAAACTACCTTGTACTCTGTAATTATAAGCACCTAATTCAACCGCAAAGTGAAAAAAAAAATGCTGTATTCGACACCTTGGGGGGCAATCAAAAGGCGCATAAAATGCCAAATTCAAACCAAGCTTCGTGCGTGCCATTCGCCAATCATACCGTCATCCCGCGCTATCTTGGTATTGTTTTGAGCGTGATTTCAGCAAGGTTCTGTTTGGCATTTCAAAAGTCTGTTGCCAGACTGGCGCCAGGATACATTTGCCCCTATAGCTGTGTCTTTTTCGTGAGGGCTCCTTGTTATCCTCGGAAAATTTCGCGAGTGCCTGTGCGATGTCAGCCGTTATAATGAACGAAATAAATGGACACCGTGCATTGCAGAAGCCGGGCGCGTTCTCTAAGTGTGTGCTCAGCTCGGCAGTTAACGAGATCGGACTCTATTGTGTCTCAGAATTGGGGAATTAATGCAAAGATGCATTTGAGTACAGGCACAAGGGGAACCGAGTTTGTGCACCGCATTTCAATACTTCGAACTCATGTCCCAGAGGCACAGAATATCTTCATAGCCTAGTGTCGCCTTGTCGACTGCACACAAGACTCATTTTCTGGGGAAACTAAATATAGTTGCGGCAGGCCATGTGCTTCCTTTCTCTGATCGTGTCTCAAAAGTAGGGAGTCTCTCTGCACAGCTGATCGTGCCACGTTGACCACGCGCGACGATGGAGATGCTACGGTGCTTCCCCTCGCTGTGCCAGCACAGTACATATTTTAGTGCATATGAAGATTGAACGTTTTAAGGCTGGATAATAGGTGTACATCGAATGTGCTACAGTTAATCATGCGCACGTGGCAGGTTGCTTTATTGCCACTGCTGGAGCGAAGCACAACTCGAGCATCCAGCCCGGCCACTCAACTATGGCCCGTCTGGACCAATGCCCACAAGACGTCGCACCACTACAACGTCCCCTGGAACCTTGATCGAGCCGGCAATTATATCACATGCGGCAACACGTATGCTGTAAAAACCCACGTATAGCCCAGGTTTTTTTTTTCTAGATTTTGTGGTACGAAATTTCGGCCCTGTACTACATGCAGGTCCCAAGAATTTTCGGCCGAAATGCAGTTTTGATTTCGGCTTAGCACGGTGCTATCATCTTAATCATCATCATCATGATGCATCATCATCATGATCAGGTGTTTGTGCACTTTTGTGCTAGGTGGTAAGAAATGTAGGCGGTGGTAGTAGGCATTAGTCTTACAGACCCTCGCATGAAACAGTGGTCAGTGGCCTTTGCTTCAACTTGAGGCCCGTAATGGGGGCCATGATTTTGCTCCTGTGATTTTACGCCATGTCAGGACCGCACAGGCAATACTCAGCTGCTTTTAAAAGGAAAGTTATCGCTGCTGCCGAAATTATTGGCAACTGTTCCACAGAACAGCAGTTGGAAGTTCAACGATTTACGGACATGATTCCTGGCCGGCATCTGTCAAGCGTGTGCATGTGTCTTTGGAGACGAAGCCCGGGGGTCAAAGTTGAAGGTGCACTCCAGAGCAACTCACGGCACTTCTTCCGGCCGTCGATCTCATCTAGCTGTCTCTTACTGCACAGCTGACTAGCATGATGTGCGACTACACCAACAAATATGTGTGGTCACATGTTTTAGAGAGGCCGACATACGTGAAAAGGGGGGTTCTAGGAGGAACTTCACTCTCGATGAAGTGACGAAGTGCATTCGAATCCTCATTTACATGAAAATTGTTGTTTCGTTCGTTTTCGTTCGTTCCTTGCCTTTCTAAGTGTCACGAACTCGGGACAGACCGACCCCGTCTGCCTTGGCAAGCTGCACAGGATAACCCATGTATGGCAGTGCCCCCACTAACTTTCTTTTTTATGGAAAGGACAGTTTTTGCCAAAAATTCGTGGAACTTCTACAACCTTTTTGCATTATAAGAAGCTGCAAATTGTGTATCATGAATTATTTTTAACCTTATTGTTTTGAAGTTCTCCTGTTTGAAATGTTAACTGTACATACAGGGCAGAAATTTTCATTTTAAACATTTTTTACCTAATGTGTATAATAAATGTATGGCTACATTTATGTTATTGGACAGACCATTCCTTTAGCTACAGTTTGGTACTGAATAATGTAAATAAGGCATTATTATCTACCACAAAAAATTGTTTTTTACACGTAATGAAAACGGCTCTTTTTTCCACGGTAGCAAAAGAGTTAAGATCGAGCTGCAGCAAGCAAAGTCCAGGGAAATCGCCCGAGACAAAGGCATTTAGCCGGAGGATTTCAAAGCGAGCAAGCATTAGGTGTCACTCTTCATGCACCGTGCTGGGTTCTCCCTACGTCAGCGTACCTCAGAGAAGCTACCAAAAAGCTACAGAGAAGACCTTGTGAAGTTTCAAAAGCATGCAATTGTGTTGCGAAAAGTCTTTCACGTGGGTCACATCAGCAACGGGGATCAAATACCGCTCTACCTGGATATGCCCTCGGCACTGACGGTGCATCAGAAAGGCAAGTTAATGATTTCCAGATTTAGATTTTTTTTATTTCAGCATTTATTCGAAACAAATGCTAGGACAGTAGAAAAAAACCGCTCTCATAGTGGCTTGACAAAGGCCCCCTGCTTCTATAGAATTTGGCCGGAGACAACACACGCATACAATATACACTCAAACCTCGTTATAACATAATGGGATATAACGAAATAATGGATATATTGAAGTAAATTAAGTTCTCCTTGAAAGCTTCATTGAAAACCATGCATTTTAAACCTCGTTGTAACAAAGTAAAATTGACTGGTAAAGGTAAATGGATACAACAAACTAAATTAGTCTATCAATAGTTTATAAAAAATAACTACGTTGTGTGTTAAGTACATCATTTTGTGCAGAGTTTGACTTGTTCGGCGCGGCTCTTTCAAAACTTCCGTGCCGACCTTACAGCCACGCCCCGTGCGTCTGAGAAAGCCGTTCTCCTCACACAGCCGGCGTAGAGGATTGAGGAAGCGCTCAGCGGGTCACATGATCGAGAAGCGGCGCCGCGGTGCAAAGCGATTTTCCTCTCATGATGGCAACGACTGCGTCTCTGCTGCTACCATGCGTGGCTGCTACCCTCTGCACCGAGAAAGGAGGACGCTCCGCGACAGCTTTCTTTTTTTTCCCTCTCTTTCGGTGTACGGCCTTGAAAGGAGAAGGGTCTCTACATGCAGAGACAGAAAAGCGAGAAGCAATGGCACAGGCGCGCCGCAGATCGGCATTTGATAAAGAGCAAACAATCTGCGACACTTTTTGCTTTCCTTTTCTTCTTTTCCTTCTTCGCACGCACCGTTGAGAGGTGCCGCCGCGGGATTGGGCATGGTGCTGAGAGCATTTTCGGGGCACGGTATGTTAGAATGAACCGTCGCAAGTGCTTGCGCATTCGAATCATAGAGTGTTATTGCCCATAGGAACACACATAGCTTTTACGGGACCTCAGCGAGAGTTCGAATTACCCTAAAGTTTGAAATAATGAGATTCGACTGAGTTTATTTTCCGTGGCACGCGTGGTCGCGTAGCGATACATTGGACCGCGAGGCGGCTTCCTTCTTTGCATGCTTATAAGTGTGCATCCATCTGAGCATACGTTTCCACAAACTATTATAATAGATATAATGAAATAGTGGATATAACGAAATAATTGTGACTCCCCTTCAACTTCGTTATAACGAGGTTTGAGTGTACTAAAATGCATAGGTATACAGATTCGAAAATAAGAAAAACAAACAAGTGGAACACTGACATGTGTGTGGCAAACTTGCAGCACATAAAAACACAGGTACACACAATACTTTTTTGCATACAACACACGTTTTTTTTTTTTTAGCAAACAGTTCGCACCTTCTCCGAACACAGTCGTAGAAAATATGTAGCATGGTGAAACCGTACAGATTTCCAGGTGGATAAGAGCATGTAAGATGACTTTCACACACACAACCAAAATGAAACGTGTAGTATACCCAAGAAACAAGGAAAAAAGCAGGTTATTGTGCAATCGACTGCAAACGAAAAAATGCAGGTGACTGTAATGTTCTGCACTGCAGACGGTCAAAACGTACCACTCTACATTATGTTCAAACGAAAGACGCTGCCGAAAGGGGAGAAGTTCTCCCCAAAATGTCGTTGTCCGCTGCTAGAACAAGGGGTGGATGGACGAATTGCTAGTGCTTGACTGGATAAAGTCGGTGTGATATCGACGACCCGGAGCACTGCTGGGCTTCCTTCGATGCTTCTGCTCGACGAGTTTTGGTGTCACCTGACCGACTCCGTAAAGCCACTCCTGTGCAACACCCGCGTCGAGCTCGTTGTCATTCCTTCGGATGACATCACAGCTACAGCTGCTTGATGAGTGCCTTATCAAGCCATTTAAGGACCAGGTCAGGCACCTGTACACAGAGTAGATGAGGTCTGGAGTTCTAGAAGTGACCCCTGCCAGACGGTTGAAACGGGCCTCGCCAGCAATGCTGTGCTTGTGGATAGTCGACGTTTGGGCCTGCACTCCCTAGGCGCTCGTTTGCTGCGTGTTCAAATAGTGCTCCATCGCGAACGTGCTTGACGGCACTGAGGATGATGTGCTGTGAGAGAACATGTGCGACAAGGGAGCTTCAGAAGAGAGTGTATTCAATGACAA